ATATCAAAACTTTATATAACAAAGGATGGACCTCGTCCATCTAGCAAATCTTTAAAGCTTCAAGGGATGCTTACTAGTATCAACATATTACAAACGATGACATTCCGGACAAACAAACCCACGCGGTAAACCGTCAGTGGCAAAACAAGACAAAGTAAGGGAGATATCTCAAACAAGATGTGCAGTTGCATTATAGTCCCACTACAACAAAAAACACATTTAATAGCATTCGATGAATGCTATTGAAAGTAAACAATAGCATTCGTTGGAATGCTATGTTTGCCCATGTTATTAAAAGTGTATCATTTTTTATAACATTTATCGAATGTTGTTGGAGAGAGAGTTAAGAGACGTTAAGAGACGTTTGGCAAACGTGAGAGAGAGAGCAGAGAGTGTTTGGGCGGAAAAAAAAATAATGCCAACCGTAGATATTGATTAAAAATTATTTCAGTTATTCAAATAAAATGTAACATATTTTCAAAAATTGTTCAAATAAATACATTTTAACATATTTTCAAAAGTTGTTATGTCTTATAATATGGGTATTAGTTTTATCTTTATGTTTTTGTATATATATAAGTTGTTTTCAAATTTTTTTTAAATAAATTTTTATTTTCTCATCTCGCTCATCACTTTTAGTCACCACTCACCACAACTATCAATGAATGGCGAGTTCTGACCAAACTTCGACAACTCTCTAGCAAATGGGTGATCGCCGTTGTGATTTTCAATTATCAATTGGTATTCTTCAGGTCATCTCATATTCTTCGACATCGTCCAACTACTAAATTCGACAAATAAGTTTGACTACCCATTGCTAACAGGCACCACATCTGTTCGCCCTTCATTTCTGTCCATTAAATTTGGCAACTAATCATCGCACTATTAATTTTTTTATTTAAACACCTCTCATTCTATTTCAATGCGATGTTCAAACTTTTTAATGTAAATTTAAAATTATTTTATTTAAGCCTTTCAACTTCATAATCAAGTTTGTGTAATCTAATTTATAATTAAGGCCTTACACTTTTTTTGTCTTTAACATTTTTTTTTTAATTTATATATTAAAAAAATTACTTTTTCAGTTAAAATAATTTAAAAATAAAAGAAAGTTGAAAATATTGAAAGCAAAAATAAATAAATAAATAATAAAAATTGTATATTTTTAATCTTTGATGAAGTCCCTTTCATTCACTTTCTGCTCTTATTAATTTTTTTTGCTTTTTATCTTTTTGTTCGTTATGGGGATATAAACTGAAGCAACGTAACTTTGAATAGATCACAGAAGTGAAATGATTTATTTATCGAACTTGTTATCACTCGAATCGTTTAAATTTGTGCCAGCTGGACGATTGGTTTCACCTTCGTCTACCACAGTTGTCATCCTATCATCTAGATGACTAGTGTAAACAAATTCATGCAATTCATACGGCACCAAATTAAATGAATGTAACATTCCTGATCACGAAAATGGGTCAGAGATTTGTGGGGCGGGAAAAATCGAACCCCAATAGAGGCGAGACAGTGGAATAAAAATGGTCTTCGTTATGGATGAGGAATGGAAATGGAAAAAAATAATAATTCTTGGAGATTGGGAACAGAGAGTGTAAACTCACCCTTATTGTCTCGTTGCCATTCCTATTTATAACTTCTCCAACTGGTTGGGTAGGAGTTGGGCATTGGCCGGGTCAGACAGGATCAAAATTTTATCACTTTATAAGCAATTTGTGTTGAGCTGATGTAATCAATTTAAGTCAAATCTAAAATTAATAGTATAATATAATTTTGAATTCCAATTATTATATATATATATATATTTTTTAAATGTAAGCGAACTAATTTTTATAAAATAAAAATTGTATTAAAAAGTCATCCAATCTAACGTTCCAACATACATAAAAATATATAATAATATTTCACTTATTACAAATACTTTAATAATTAAAATATTCTGTACTATAATATTATGCATTGATGCGTGAGGATGGAGCATAGCTTGCTTTCGGAGAGTTGAGATATAGGTTTGTAAAATTAATTTAAATTGAATAGATTACAATTGTCCCTTTTTTTTTTGGTTGTGACAAATGCAAATTAAATAGGTTATGATTATTGAATCGATATAATTTTTCTATGTTCACGAAATAAAAAAAATGAAATGTCCAACATACTTAATAGTTTGAATTATCAAAACGATATCTATGATAGACATTACAAGACTAAACAACTCTCTTCAGCTAAAATTATGGACCGAAAAGAATTTCCTCATATAAAATAATTGCGTTAGTGATCGGGTTTTTTGTTTCTCTCTCTAATTTAAGAGTGGCCCGGAGAGAATTCCCTCATGTAAAATAACTACATTAGTTATTGTGCTTCTTTTTTCTTTTTCTTTTTTTTTTTCTCTCTCTCTCTCTCTCTCTAATTTAAGAGGTTTCATAGGGCATAGGGAATCAAATTAAGAGGAAGATCCGTTCCAGTTAAAAAAT